CCTCGCATCAGCACCGCTTGCCCGCTCCACCCCATTTGGGGGGACCCGAGGCGTGGCCAGGCCCCACATCACAGCGCCCGGTCCCTCGGCTGGGAAGTGACACCCACGGGACCTGCCTGCCACCCCTGCCGGACACGCGTGTCAGACCTGTGGGACCGGCTGCGTCTGGGCAGTGGCAGCAGAGCCTTCAGAGGGAGGGCGGAACCCAGGCCGCAGGGAGGGGACAGAGGTGGGGCAGACCCAGCCCTGTGTCCCAGGCAGACAGCCTCCTGCAGGGCAGGTCACAGGGCCCCCTCGGCCCCCAGAGTCCCGGCCTGGGCCCCGGTGGCCCCGGCTACCCTGCTGGGAGAACGGCCTCCCGGCCAGGCTGAGCCTGCGCTCTACATGTTCCCGCCTCAGTCTGCTGGCCAGTGAGGCCGAGGCCTGGGTTCCTCGGGTTACAGCAGTGGGTGGAGAGAGAAACTCTGCTAAGAAACAGGCAGGACAGGGACACGGGTGCTACGGGCTCAGGCCAGTGGGTCCAGCCTCCCGGGGTGGCGTGGAGGCCAGCAGTGCCGGCCGGCACCCTGTGTGTGTTCTCTGTGGTTCGGTTCAGCCCGCAGCCCTCCTGTGTCCCGTCCGGAGACGGGCTGAGGGGCTGCGCTGGAGCAGGCGCAGAGACCAAAGCGGGCCCGCGGCTCTGCGGCCCCTGCGCCTGCTCTGCCCAGCTGAGACCGTTGTTCACAGATCGCAACCACACTCAAACGAAACCGGGGCACAGCAACTGCTGCCTCTCGTTTTCAGAGGGAAACGGTCTTCTCTCCGAGTGCGCTCCTCGTGCCGGGGACCCAGGCCGGCCGGCCCATCACGTGGCGCTGCCCTGGGCCCAAACTTCCCACTTTGCGCAGTGAGTTAATTTTAGCAACACACTTCTCAGGCGCTCTAGGTCTGGTTCCTGCTTTTATGTAACCACTTCTGCTCACTCGTAACTCTTTTCTGATTTTTCTGAGGCAGGCCTTATCTCAGACATGACACCAGGTCCCTGAGGCGCAAGACCACGGTGTTTTTCTCAACTCTGGGGACCAGGAATGAGGAGGAACGAGCTTTGGCCCGGAGGCATCGGAATCATTCCCAAGCCTCTGCAGGCATGACCTGTGCACCTGTGATCCCAGCACTCTGGAGGCTGAGGCAGGAGGATCCTGTACACTACATACTGAGACCCTGTTTCAAAAGCCAAGCCCAACAGAGCAAAAACCTCACCAGGGTTACCCCAGGCAGGTCACCCTCAGCACCCTGACCCCTGATACCTTCAGTAGGAACCAAAGGACCCCCTCATGGCCAGAGGCGGGGTCTGGACAACAGGACAGAGCCCTGGCTGCCTCACTGACACAGCCCCCACCCTGGTCCCTCACGGATGGGAGAGAGGGAGGCAAGGTTCAAGAAAAGGCAAAATAGAACTTATGTTCAAACCACAGCAGTTTCAACAGTTACCCAAGCGGTGTACCGAAACCACACGCAGCACTGACTTCGGCAAAAACAATACAAGCGAATGGCTTACGGAGGTGGCAGGCTGTCAAAATACTGGCCGCTGGCCGGCACCGCCCAGCACAGCTTCCCGGCCGCAGGGCGCTCGGCACAGGAGGGAGGCGGGCAGGGCTTTTCAGGAAACCTCCCGAGGGTCCCGGCTGTCCCATCCCCACACGAGGCTCGTGTCCCACCGAGTCCCCACGGCGGGGCGTGGCGAAGCGAATGGCTTACGGAGGTGGCAGGCTGTCAAAATACTGGCCGCTGGCCGGCACCGCCCAGCACAGCTTCCCGGCCGCAGGGCGCTCGGCACAGGAGGGAGGCGGGCAGGGCTTTTCAGGAAACCTCCCGAGGGTCCCGGCTGTCCCATCCCCACACGAGGCTCGTGTCCCACCGAGTCCCCACGGCGGGGCGTGGCGCGGAACTGCACAGGGAAGGAGTGGCACGCAGAGAGGACGCGGTGTGGACGCACACAGCCCTACACGAGCTGCCAGGCGCGGAGCAGCCCAAACCACGGACGGCAGGAAGCAGGGAGGCGATCGCAGGATGGGAGCAGGGCCGAGAAAGGGGCGCAGCCGGTGCCACGTCCGCCCGGCTCCACACACAGGAGCCGTGGGATCGCACAGGAGACAACTGGCGGCGGCCACGCAGCGCGCTCATGACTGTCCTTCCTCCAGGGGACAGCTGCCCTGCCACCATCCCACACACACACAGATGCTCCCTAGACGGCCAACGGGACACAACAGGGCCCTCGATGGGCACACGTCACACTCCACATAGCCGGGAGGGGAGCAAAGGGAGCAGCAGCCCCAGGCCGGTGGGCAATACCCAGGCAGCAGGCGACCCTGCAGATCAAAGCTGTGCCAGGCAGCACAGCCGGGAGATAAAAATCTGAGGTCCCTGCGATCGAGGCGTTGAGATTTTCCACTAAAAATATTTACTGAATTTGAAGAAAACCTGCTTAATGCTTTGAAGGGAACAGGATGAGGTTAGGGTCTGAACTGCGGTGCTGAGCAGATGCTTGAGACGCTCCTCCACCCAAGGCTCTGCCACGGCCCCGAGGAGGCTGAGGCGGGCAGGGGCCCCAGGCACAGCCGTGGAGGGAGAGAGCAGAAGAGGTGGCCACACTCTGGGGGCCCAGAGGCAAATCCGACTCGAAGCGAGGCAGATTTTCCTTTTAAGGCGCACACCAGTTATCCCAGCATTTTGGGAGGCAGAGGCAGAAGGCTCCAAGTCAGAGCCCAGCCTGGGCAATTTAGCAAGTGAGCAAGACCCTGCTTCAAAACTTAAAGAACTTTTTTCTAGAACTCATTACTAAAAGGCTCCTGTGACATTTACAGGAAAACTGCACGTGTGGGGTTGCCTTGGCCCTAGGCCAGGGGGTGGGGGGCCACACCGGCAGGCTGTGAGTGCACTCTGTCCTCGCGGCGGCAGGCATCGGCCCCGGGTGGCGAGTCCCGCCCTGGTGAGGGGCTGGGAGATGCTATCTGCCCACCAGCCCGGCGGGGAGCCCCGTCTGGAGTCCCGCTTCGTTCCTC